TATCACCAACAACTCTCTGACTGCTGTTGAAACCTTCAAGTTTCTGGGCTCCACAATCTCCCAGGACCTGAAATGGGAGACCAACACAGTCCCCTTCATCAAAAAGGCCCAATAGAGGTTGTACTTCCTGCACCATCATTCAGTCTGTTCTCTGCTCCTCAATCACTGTTTGGTTTGGATCGGCCACAAAACAGGAAAAGAACAGACTGCAACGGACAATAAGGTCTGCAGAGAAAATTATTGGTGTCAGCCTGCCCTCCATCCAGGACCTGTGCCTGTCCAGAGTCAGGAAACTGGCAGGTAACATCTCTGCAGACCCATTACACCCTGGATACAAACTGTTTAAACTTCTCCCCTCTGGAAGGAGCTACAGAACACTGTACGCCAAAACATCCTGATATAAGAACAGTTTTTTCCCTCAGGCTGTCTCTGTGTTGAACAGCTAAAACCGGACTCAAATATCAGTCACATCACCTGTCAAATATCTGTACATAAAATATACTGTGCACACTGTATATTTATATTTATTATTTCATCCATGCACTATGCACCCTTGGACTAACTATTTAGATTTTGGTACATCTACATAGCTTTAGTTTTTGTTTTTGTCTTTGTTCTTGTTTATCTCTGTTTGTTTGTTTTTTTCAACTGTTTGTATTAAGAGAGCAAAGAAAAACCAGAGTCAAATTCTTTGTGTGTTCACATATCTGTCAATAAAAGTGATTCTGATTCTGATTCAGTGGACATTCTTCATGCATGTGGACATCTTGGAAGTAGTTCACAAGATATAAAATGTGATGTCCCCTACAGATAAAAAGAAATGTAAGGGACCAGGTGAGGATTTATAAACTTAATACAAAGAAGCAGCCTTGTGCATGACTTATTATTATTGTAGGGGGGAATTATTATAGTTATAACAACCAGGACTTGATAAGTTTATCAAGATAAATGTTTCCCTTATGAGGCTGACTACATACACTAAACATTAACATTCAGAGTGTGGCACTGGCTGTGGGATTTAAGTCAGAATCAATGGGAACACTATGCAGTCACAACACAAACGTGATCCTCATGAACTGTGTTACACCGTCATTTTAGCAGCAGTGAAGTAGATCATTAAGAAAGAACCGCAGTGATTAAAAACAACGTGATGCTACAGAATGTTACGTGTGTTATTTCTGAGGTTCACAACATCTTCGGAGTGAGGCTACTCTGTGTGCTAACGTTGTTAACAGTTAGCAATGTGCTAGCGTTAGCATTAGCATTAAAAAAACACAAGAGTAAAGAGTGTATTGTCCACTGCTTCCTTCTTTGTGAAATATGACACATAATCATTTGTTTACTTAAGGGTTTATGATCTTGAACCAGGGTGCGCACTTTGGGGAGGCTGTATACTTGAGGTGATGTAGTAGGTTGAGAGTCGGTTGTGAAATGAGCTAAACACACATCGACAGACTCTTGAAAGGCTCCGGCACGTCATAAAAAATAAAGCGTAATCGCTGGTTTTGAATAGTAACATTCTTAGGAGGAATGTGAAGAGACACATTCTCTTCCTTGCATCCCTCCACACTGCAGTATTTCTTCAGTTTGTTGTGGTTAGTCTGTGGTAGCTCACAAGCTGCTAGCTCAGCAACATGCTTGGTGTCCCGTTTGGTGTGGAGGGAAGGAGAGGTGGTGGTGGTGGTGTGGAGTTGGTGGGATCGGAGGCTGGACTGGTACCGACTGGGTTGGACTGAGAGAAGAGTGCAGGAGTAGCTGACGTCATCCTACCTAGGAAGTTTGAAATGAGCAGTTTCAAAGACATATTTCTTAGAATGGACTGAGAAAGTCCACGATCTGACTGTTGACTGACTTTGAGGGTACCTACTGACCCCCTTCAAGTAATAAAAAGGCCAGAAAATGTTTTTACACAATATTGGCCCTTTAAAATGTATTTTAATGCAAGGCTCCTCTCAGCAGATAGCCAGTTTGCAATGAACCACAGTTACCTGTTCTTCTCGCAGTTTGTGACAGAAACACACATGGTTAAAAACATCATGTGAATACAATTGTGTAAAGGTAAACCAATCACCCGAGATGGACGAAGAATTTCCAATAGGATGCTTCAAGATAAACAAGAGGTGCAAAAACTGATAACAAACAAAAACGCAACATGATTCATGCAACCTCTCTGAGGCACTCCAGCTTATTGGGAATAAGCATTGAAAGATCTGCATGCCGTGGTCAGACAGGTGGGCAAGACCACATTGTTTATCATGTTTTCTGGTGCTGAGATGAGATGGCCTGAGTTCATAGAGGTAATAAAAGCTCAATGTGGCATTCGACCATGCCACGGGGTTCCCCTCACGACAGCCAGAGACAAACCAGTCCATCCATTTCTTGCTTAGCAACATCTCTTTATTAATATAAAACTGAAACTCACACAAAACATTGAACTTAACGGGTCCAGCACTTCCTGCTGGACCTTCAGCTTCAGTCTCTCTCCCAGTGTGTCCTTCTCTTTCCCCAGTGTGTGTCCTTTGCGTGTTCTCTCGAGGCAGCTCTGCTGCCTCCTTTTCAAGTCTGAGGATCAATCAGCTAACAGCTCTCACCTGTGCTGATTGATCCTCTGTGGTGCAGGTGAAGGTGCTCTCTCCGCCCCTTCACCTCCACACTCAACAAGGTGAAAAAGTTGACTTTTCAGAGCTCGACTGGAATGCAAAATGTGGGTTGACACGCTAATGAACAATCTGATCCTGTCAGATGCACAGCCCATTGGTGAAGTAGAAGATTTCTTCTATCGAGGGGAGTTTCAAGCCAGAAACTACCCATGGACAAATCCATCTTCTCTTTCCCAGATGATTGTGAAGATGATGATGACGAGCAACAAAGGAGTCCAAATCTAAAAACAGACATCTTTGAAAGATACAAAAGGAGGCCATGGAAAAACTAAAACCACTGTGGACTTTCCTTACTGAATCAAAGGCCCCACCCATGTGTTAGCCAGAGCTGCTGGACAAATTCAAGATGACTGACCAAGAATTCAGACCTTGATAATCTAACCAGAGGCAATTGTGATGAAGCGTTGTCCAATCGACTGTTGGGTCAATGAATACAATATCTATTTAGTGGTGGCATAGAACCCTAACACAAACATTGAGCTTCTTATTGAGGAGTACTGCTGCATCACTTACATGTTGTCATACATGTCCAAGCCAGAACATCAGATGACTCAGACACTCCATCAAGTCAATGGTGAAGTGTGAAAAAAAGACGTAATTGAAAAAGATGAAATGAAGCAGATCATTCAGGCATACTCCAAACACAGAGAGGTCAGCACTCAAGAGTCTGTGGCACAGGCCCACAGCTTACCACTAAAAATGTGTTCACATAGTGAGATGTTAGTACAGACTGATGAAAACACACTAAAGATGAATCTTCCCATGAGCAAGTTAGAGGGAATGGATCCTGGTACAAAGCAAGTGTGGATGTTGGAATCACCTGAGAAATATGCAGACAGACCTAAGACATGCAAATTCGAAAGCATATCTTTGGCCGAGTTTGCTTCAAATACTCTATGGACGATAAACTGAAGGCCCAAATGCCATTCCCCTTTTGAATGAAAGAGGATTCATTCAAAACACAACTTTAGGAAAAACTGCCATCATCGAGACCCAGAGATACACCAGCAAAAAAGGAGTGGTTAGAAGGCTGCTGCAAAGCAGTTGCCAATAAAGCCCGCTTTTGCCTGTGTGACCTCTGTGATCGGTCGGTCAGTGTTGTGGGCAACAGGTGTTTATTGGTTCTGTATAGTTTTTATGAAAAACAAGAGCAGAAGGATCATCATACGCATTCTTCCATATCTCTAAGTTAAATAATAACATGAAATGAAATTTCCATCATGATCTAGTGATCGTATAGTGGAGTTTGGCTCATGTATTTAAAATAAATGATCTTTCAGTCATAACATTTATCAACATAACAAAGCACATTAACTTAACAGCAGAAAATATCTAAACTGCATAATATCACAACAATTAGTAACGTGACATTTTATGAACACACCTGTATAGTTTTTATGAAAAACAAGAGTGGAAGGATCATCATATGAGGAAGTGGCATGCTCACTGTAAAGACAGAATATATAATGTTAGCTAGCTTACACAGGTGAATATTTACAAACAATATAACATATAAAAGACGAACAGTAACTGAATTAAAAGTAACAGTAACTGAATAAAAACATGCAAAATGTTTCCTAGACATGTAAAATCACATTAAAATATCTACATTTCATTTAGCTAACAATATGTATGTTCATAGACTTCAGCACACTCAACCTACCTCATGGCATTTGTCATGGCCTGGCTCACAGGGCATTCCATGTCATTTTTACAACATGCCTGCCATAACCGTGACAATGGTGAGAGACAATAATGAGGACAGCAGCAGTTCCAGTGAGAGACCCAAATGAGGCTGGCAAGTTGAAGAACCAGGATCAGCAGTGAAGACAGTGCATAGCCATCTCCAGCGAGGATCAACATCCAACACAAGTCTCAAGGTGACACCTCCAGTGATGCTGGCAAGGAGGAGAACAAGGATCATCAGTGAAGAATCAGCATTCCACACAAGGCTCGAAGTGACACCTTAAGCATATCTGAACACTGCTGTTTCATTACCGTTTATCAGATGTCCTATTTACCCAAGATATTACATCAGCAACTTGTCTGTCTCACACTAGAAACCAAGTGAACAGGAGGAAGAATCCAGACTGACAATGCCATAGGACAGCAGCAGTTTCAGTAAGGGAGAGCAGAAACAAAAATAACTTGGAGCTGTGAAGCAGCACTGAGTGGGCCAGAGCACTTGCGAAGGATAGGTGATGCAGCCGCTGGGGAGGGTGGTTGGGGACCGGTCAAAATGGCTCTCTGTTGCATGCGTTTTGCTCACTGTGGGAAGGATAAACGCTTCACTTCCTGTGTCCGTCACGCAACGCGGACCAAGCCCACCAATCATGCATCATGGTCCGTGCCATCAAGTGCAGAACACAAGGTGAACATTTGATGTCAATCCAGCTAAAGTTGTAAAGCAAGGCTTACTTACTGTTACCAGTAGGTGGGGCTATCACTACATACAGACTAATAGTATCTGTATCTAATATCTGTTCAGGTCAGGGCTCTGATGAAGCGTGACCAATTTGAGGCCAATTGGACAATGTAAAATGGAGTTATGACAACTTTGTCTACTTTGTCGAAGGATTAACCTTTGTTGCACCTCAATGTATTCATGATTTGAGGTGGTGTCACAGTCCGGACCATGTTCTTATCTCTTGTCTGAGCTCATTTGAGCTGTATTGTAAAGCTGCCAGCAGCAGTGCATCAAAAAATAAAGCATGTTACTTCATGTCGCAAGCAGGTGGCGCTGTGACCATGAGTCAATATTGAGACATGGATCGGTACATTCCCGGACTGTAATCTTTTTGGTGCCGATTGAACAATGCACAGTGGAGTTATGACAACTTCCTGTTTCATGTCCAATCAGTAGGTGGCGCTATGACCCTGACTAACTTTTGACACGTCTCTGATCAAAGGATAGGAAGGATAGTTCTGACACATGTTCTTATTACTAACCACTTTTTCTATACTTGTCTTAGACTTAACTTTCTTCTTAATTTCTTTTTGCGAGTGTGGGGATCTCATATACTTCACATCGAATCATCATGTGGTTTGCTAGAGTTTTGGTGTTTTTGTTAACTGCTACACAACTCTACACCGGCACAGCGGCGCAGCAACTCCATGCTGTCCTCTCTCCTTTTCTCTTCACTCTCTACACCACAGACTTCAGCTACTGCACAGAGACCTGCCACCTTCAGAAGTTTTCTGATGACTCTGCAGTAGTAGGATGTATCACTGATGGGAATGAGAGTGAGTACCGGACTGTGGTGGACAACTTTGTCACATGGAGCTGTAAAAACCACCTACAGCTCAACGTGTCAAAGACAAAGGAACTGGTGGTGGACTTCAGGAGGTYGAAGGGGCCGGTGACCCCTGTCACCATCCATGGGGCCAGTGTGGACATGGTGGAGAACTACAAGTACTCTGGGGTGAACTTAGACAATAAACTGGACTGGTCCAAAAATGTGGACACAATTTTCAAAAGAGGCCAGAGCCGTCTTTATTTTCTGAGACGGCCTAGGTCCTTCAACATAAACAGGATGATGCTGCGTGTCCAGTGCCATCATGTTTGCTGTTGTCTGCTGGGGCAGCAGCTTGAAGAAGAAGGACATAAATAGACTCAACAAGCTAATCAGGAAAGCCAGCGGGTGGGGGGGTTTCACAGTGGTGATGGAGAGGAGAACTTTGTCCAAAGTAAGGACAATATTGGACTTTCCGTCACACCCTCTCCATAATGTCTTGATTAGCCTCTGCAGCTCTTTCAGTGGCAGACTCATCCACCCACGCTGCTCGACAGACTGCCACAGGAAATCATTCCTGCCTGTCATTGTCAAATTGTACAATGACAACCTGTAAAGTATAAAGATTAATAATGTATACTGTGTATACTTTAACTTTAACTTACTTTACATGCACAAATGTAAATCTATACATACCTGGTCTTTATTTCTACATATGTATATCTTTTATTTCTTTTAGCCTTACTTGATTCTTACATTTTATATTGCTATGTTTATACCTGCTTTTGCTGTTTTCACCCCCTGCACAGTGGAGTAAAAAACAACTACATTTTCCCACTAATCAGCAAGTGGCGCCATGACCCTGAGTTAATATTCACATATGAAGCTGTTCAGCCCAGGACTATGATCATTGGTTTGAATTTTGATGCAGACTGGACCATGCACAGTGCAGTTATGACAACTTTGTCTCCTTTAGCGAAGGATTAACCTATGTTTACACAGTTTGAGGAAATGTTACAATTCTCACCATGTTATTAGAGCGTGTCTGAGCTCATTTGAGCTGTATATTGTAAAGTAGCTAGCAGCAGTGCATCAATGTATAAAATATGTCACTTCCTATTGCCAGCAGGTGGCATTGTGACGATAAGTAAATTTTGACATGGATCTGTTTAGGGATGGACTGTAATTGTGTGGATGGATTTTGAGGCTGATGGGACAATGCACAGAGTTAAAATAAATTTTTTGGGCAAATAATCAAACTTTGACGGCATGCCACAGTCAGACTGTGTCATGCACACTAAAAAATCGAGGTAGTTTTAATCTCCATGTTGTTGAGTTGACACTTTACCTATTTCTAAAGTTGGTCTGATGAAAGTTCTAGGAGTTGTTACACAATTGTAATTTGAGGGAGATTGAACAATGTACACTTCACAAATACACACAAATCAATGTCTTGAGGCCCTTCTGACACAAATACACACAAATCAATTTCTTGAGGCCCTTCTGACAAAGTCTGACATGGTTGAGGTCAATGGCTGAGGAGGAATTAATCAAAGCATATGACATGCAAAAAACATTTCCTGTTGGCAACAGGGGGCGCTGTGATTTTAAGTAATGATTTCTATTTAGATGTCATCAGGCAGGGACTCTTGCCGTACATTACAGTTTGGAGTAGATTGGACCATGTATCTCCAAGATACAACTGTGTGTTTTGATGTTATGTAATCAAACTATATCCTCACACATTACTGTATATGTCACTATATTTTATGTATATATAGTGTCCATTACATTATATCTGTACACCATTAAGAGAAGATTGCCTGTCTAATTCCACAGATACTCCCTTTACTCTCTAAGCAGTACCCAAGGTCAGGTTATAGATGAAGGACCAGCCAAGAGTTCATTGTATTGCCTACACTTAGGGACTTTCATATCTAACTCAGATGCCCCAAACAGAGAGGCACCGACTTCAACTCTCACCAACTTCAACTCTTAACTTAACTATCCAACAGGATGCGAACACCTACATGTAACATAGAGTGTGACAGCAATTCTAGCCATTAATTGATGTGCTGTTAGAATGAATGATGCAAGTAGAGGAAGATATATGGGGATGCTGTGGGAGACATCTTCAGACTTGGGGGTGACAATTGCTCATGTTACTCTGTTAGTGTTTGTATATTGTTCCATCTTCTGGTATCCTTGATGCATCAAGTTTACATTAAAATCTTCTGCATAAGACATCAGCTGCTGCCTGAGTTCTCCTTTCACCAGCTTCCAGAAAGCGTCCATAACACATTATGCAAGTTTATGTCGAGCTGTACCCTAGATGGAAATGTCTGCTGTGAGCATAAACTAAGTAGTTATTAAGTAAATTTCTATTACATATACCCCCTTTTGTCATTTTGTGACAATCAAAGAATAATCAAACAAAGAACAATCATAGGAACATCCATGACACAAATTCTCATAGATTCAATGCATCATTTTATAAAGATCATTCATCTATGCACCCTTAAGTGAAAGCAAGCCCAAGGGGAAACAAAACTCAGCATATCAAAGGTTTGAAGAGAGTAAAACCAAATTCATCCACATCAAGCTAGCCTGAACAACATCAGTAGTATAATTTGAAAAAGGTCTCATCACAAAGTGTAAATAACCTATATTAAACCATAGCAACATCCATATAATCAGGATAAGGGAAAAGGTCAGGGAAAAGGTCAGGGAATAAGTTAGTTTCAGGGATGGGGCAGTCACATGCAGATCTTTTGGAGACATGCTAACAGTTTCACATAGATGTGTGCTTTGCTTTGCTGTATTAACAAGGTATGAAGTAATGTGAGTGAAGTTGTTATCTTGTAGAGACCATTCATAGCAGCATAAAGGTGAATCCGGTTCATGGCTGTGAAAAAATGCCTCAAAGGGATATTCAACATAAGTTCCCACTGGTATGCATGTTTTATAAATGTTAGTGTCACCTTTAAATTAGCATTGTATTAGTTGCTGAAAGGATGAGGGAATTATTTTACTGTACATCTTTCAGGTGTGTTTTCTTGTTCATGCAAAATGGAAAACTATGTGCGACAACATATTTTTGGCACAGGCTTAAAAGAACAAACGCTTAATTTAATATATACAGTGTGGAGGCACAGCAAGTAGAAAGAAGGGCAACAATCACTTCATTGCAGATTACAGTTGTCAGAAAATGTTACATTTTATTGTGCTGCACTGGAGTACCCAGACCCTAATGTCTAATTCATATCCTGCACATGAGCGTGAGGAGGGTGAAGGCTGCAGGCATGAAAGACAGTGAGGCAGAATGTAAGTATATCTAATGTTCCATCTGGTCTTCAACATATCAGAATTTCACCATCATGCTTCTTTTCTCCTACTTCACTGTGTGGCTTTAGTTTTTTTGTTCCAGGTCTACTTGTGCAACACCATCCTGAACCATCGATATGTTTTGCTTTATCGTGTACCATTGAGACTTTTCCTCAAATGAATTCTGCCCTCACCTGGGTTAAAGACTTGGCCAGGGAGCAGGACATTGGGGATTAGGGGGATAACATTATCCAAAATTTGGCCCTTCACCCACACTAGCGCCACCCTCCCACCATCCCTTAGCTCTGTCAGAACAGTCCATTTGAAACAAACCCTTGGCCATCAGCCATTTAAAGACACAGACAGAGCCTCTCAATACTATTTCCAATTCTAGTGTTATAAACCAATGCTCTGTGTGCAGAAAAAGCTGGGAACAGTATATGGGTTTAATGATTCTTTGCAGGAGGGTAGTGATGGTGCACAAGAGAGAAAGAAAGTTTGCCTGTAACTATAAACTAAAAACTATAAACTTGCTGTTTAACATAAATCAGCCAACAGCTTAAGCCATCTAAACTAGTAGAACAATATGCAGAGGAATAGCAGGAGAACCAGGGTACTTGTATAGCTTGGTTGATGAGCGGATGGGCGGACGTCTCTGTTGACAGTTGACTTAAAGGGACATGTAAACATTTACACCTAAAATTGATCAAACTGTTTTTTAGACAGCGCTATCTTAGCAATGTACAAATAGTAAAAATCAGTCTATCTCCCTTTTTAA